CAAGATAGATTCGCACATGTCAAGACATTCATCGACAATTATTTCGATTGTTTGGCTCTTACAGATGATGAATTGGCAAATGTGTTGGGAAGAGAAGTGAAATTTCCTTGGGAAGAAACTTTATCCTAGTCAGCACTGTCAAAATATAGTGTTGGGGAAATTTGTCTAAAACCTTTTGGAATGGTGTTTTCAGGGAGAGATACGAAAGGGAATCCTAAGAAATTTTTGTTTAAAGTCTCAAAAGTGGAAAGGTATAATTCTTCGCAATATACGCACTTCATGGTTCGTATGAACAATTGCAAAAAGAACAATGAAGGATACAAGAACGATCTCAAGAAGGTGATCTCCTGGTATGGAGAAGTGCGAAAGACAATCCACTCTGCTGTTCAAAAGCTTGTAAATTGAATAGCTTCGATTGTTTACAAAGGGGGAGATTGTAGATGTAAAATTGTAAAAGTCGAATATAGTGTTTTGTAGTGTTTCACATTTTATGTTATTTTACTAAGTCATACTTTACGCGAAATGTAATGTTTAGACTTAGTATATTTTTTGTACACTCATGTTCCCTATAAATAGGGACTGAGGTTAGAAGTAGAAGGACTTTTTAGATAACTTTGAAAAACCTTTCTGCTTATCTCTGTAATCAGTCTTTATCAATATAAGATCTGATTAATATTTACTTTTTGTGTTCTTACTCTTCAATTACTAAAATCATACTTTGTGTTCTTAAATCTCGATAACAATTCTCATTAATTGGTAGCAGTCAATTATGTATCGAAATGGGCGGAGGCACAAGCATTACCCACGAATGATGCTCGAGTAATAGTACATTTCCTCAAAAAGTTATTTTCAAGACTTGGAGTTCCTAAGGCTCTAATTAGTGATCGAGGATCCCACTTCGCAAATGATCAGTTAGCTAAAGTGTTGCAAAAATATGGTGTTCATCATAGATTTTCAACACCATATCACCCTCAAACAAGTGGGCAAACTGAGGTTACAAATTGTGCATTGAAGAGAATATTAGAAAGATCGGTTGGAAGTAATAGAAAGGAATGGTCGGATAAGCTTGATGATGCACTATAGGCGTTTAGAACAGCTTTCAAAACACCTATTGGTACTACACCATATAGGTTGGTTTATGGGAAGAGTTTCCACTTGTCAGCTGAGATAGAGCATAAAGCATTTTGGGCTTTGAAGATATGTAATTTTGAGTTAGATGAACTGCATGGCAACGGGTTGATACAAATGAATACTCTCGAAGAACTTAGAAAGGAAGCCTACACATTTTCTTTGATTTATAAAGACAAAACTAAGAAGCAGCATGATATGAGGCTTAAAGGTAATAAAGAGTTCCATGAAGGACAAAGAGTGCTACTTTTCAACTCAAGGTTGAAACTGTTTCCCGGTAAATTGCAAACAAGGTGGGACGGGCCATTTGTTGTCAAACAAGTTTTCCCACATGGAGCTATCGAGCTTATTTCAAGAGACGTGACCCCTTTCAAGGTTAATGGGTATCGAGTGAAGCATTACGAGGACGGAATGCCAAGTGAAGAAAGGGAGAGTGAAATCGTCAAATTCACACAAGCAGAAACAACGTAGCTTGGAAATGAGTTCGGCTCATGACTCCTTCAAAAAGAAGTGCTTGCAGTAGGCAACCTGTGGTTTTGAGTTTGCATTTTCTTTTCTTTACGTTTTTTTTTGTTTTTTTTGTTCTATCTAGGTCCTTATTATCTCATTCTTTTGGTTTATCTATGAATTCGTCATGGGGTGTGGCATAAAACGAGTGTGGAGTGTGTATTCTTAAGAGTTTTTGTTAAATAAGAAAATTTTGCCCACCACGATGTGGTGATTTTTTTTTCATGATTTCACTACGATAAAAACCTCGACACCACGATGTGTTGTATTCTACCATGTCGTGGTGACAAATATACTGCTGCTATTAAAGGGTTTTTAAACTTAAGTTAAAACATTTTCACTTTTTACACCACCCCATCTCTCTCATCGTGCCAACTTCCACGAATAACTCTTTTCTATCTCCATCAATTTCGTGTTCCTCGTCCCCAAAAAGGTATGATTTTCTTGTGATTTTCTTACTCTTGATAGTGACTATGGTATTATAGAGCATTTATTTCTTATTTTGAACACATTTAGGGCTAATTTTGGGAAACTAGGGTTCCGATTTTTGCAAAATTCGGACCCAATTTGGGATGTTTTGCTCCCTAATTTTGCTACCATTCTACTCTATTTCATCGACTGAACAAACCCTGAACTTGGATTTAATTAATATGGCATTGAAATTGGAGCGAATTGAGCTTATCTCGTCACAGTCACGATGCCACGACGAGCTCATCGTGGTCCTCGTCGTGGTGTCTGGAATCACAGTTTTTCTTTTTCTGTTTCGATTATAATAATGCATATGATCTGTTTGGTTGTTCTTTTGTGGCTATTTTTCATAAATGACTAGCAGTATTAGAAGAAGTCAACCCGTTACTCGCGATTTTCCATGGTATTCTTTTCCATGAGATGTTGCACCGGAGACACGTGTGCAATGGACTGCTAAGCTTGATTTACTCAAGAACAGGAAGGTTCATGTTCCAGTTGAGGTTGATTGGCAATGGATTGGAAGTTCAGGTTTGATGGAGGCTATGGAGCCTTATCTTGACAAGGTATTCAATGGAGTTCAAGGGCAGTTTATGTGTTTGGGATGGAGGCGAATTTTTGAGATTCAAGAGGTGTTTTACAAAGAGTTGGTGTATGAATTTCTTGCCACCGTATCTTTTGCAAGAATAGATGGAATTTATGTGGATGATAATCTTATTTTTTTGCCTTGGAGGGGAAAGGCGTTCCTTAAGCCTACATGATTTTGCACTACGGATTGGTATGTACCTTCCAGCTGAAGTCCATACACCCTTATACCAACAACTTATAACAGCTTCCATTAGGAACATTGAAGGGTTCAAGGAAGAGGACCATTGGCATTCTATTGCTAATGGGGTTTACCACAAGGGTACTGCACAGTAAAGCGATATCCGGTGGCCAATTTACCACCTTTTACACTGTCTGATCATTAATTCCATAAAGCAGGCACAAGGGTACTGCACAGGCTACCCTACTGCTGTCTACTCAACTCTAGCATGCAACTCTTTCATATACTGAAGCACATAAAGCAGGCACATAAGGCATCACTCCTAGATCCTTAGTCTTATTCTAGCATGCTGTTCTACAGAAACTGATAAACATAAATAAACTTGTATGGGTACATTGGGGAATACTTACTTGAGCTCGGCCATTCGCGCACATCACACACTTTGTTCTTTCTTAAAACCCTTTACTTAGCCTTCTAGAAAACATTTTCTCTTTCCAAAATCTTTTAATCCCTCGATTTGAGTTCAAACACCCCCGAAGGTGTGTCCGCATCCCTTAAACCAGGGCTCTGATACCAACTTGTAACACCCCAAAATACGAGCCAAACATTTCATTTTTGAAAACATATTTTTCACAAAACATTCGATAATGTCAGAGTACAAATCCCCAGGAAGTTCTCATGATGCGGAATACGAAGCATGTGTGTGATGGGCCGCTACCGCGCCAGCTCCTTCCCCTTTGAAGAAGAGGTACCTGAAACCAAAACTGAAAACTATAAGCATGAAGCTTAGTGAGTTCCCCCAACGTACCACATACCATACAATCACAAAACATGCATATATCGTCAGGCATATCTGGGTGCCCGACCTACCCCTTCGGTCCTCTCGACCAGATACTGTCTAGCATACTGAGAGCTTGCCTCCCCTTCGGTCCTCTCGACCGTATACTGACTAGCATATCTGGGTGTTGGTCTCCCCTTCGGTCCTCTCGACCAGATACTGGGGACTATTTCACCCCCTAGTACTACCACATAACACACACATCTCATAATCTATCTATCATGGCTGGGCATGACCGCCCCTTCGCCCCTATCGACTGGTAATCTGGTTACTATCTCCCCCTACTGGCACTAGCACATAGCAGCATATCATACTAGCACATAAACATATCACAGGTAGTAGCAACCTTAGATGAATATCACAGAGACAATCATCCATCATACAACTCCTACAGGTGGGCCAACATTGTGGCCGTAGACCCACCGCTACTGGAAGGTAACTCACATCGTAGTAGCTGCTGATCTATGTGGGAATAGTCTATTTGCTGCTGCTGCTGCTCCGAAAATCCTCCGATTGTAATTCTCACCAAACACTTAGTCAAATACCGCTAACCGACCTCAGGGTAAATTGCCCATTTACCCTTAACAAGTCATGAGTTAAGTCATAGTCAGCTGCCAGTTGACCAGACTCGCCGAGTTAGCTTGCCAACTCGCCGAGTCCCTTTCTCTATACCCAAGTCCAATAGTCCTTCATCCTACTTGCCGAGTTATATGAACAACTCGCCGAGTTCTCCTTCATCCGAAGAACACTCTAAGCTGTGACTCGCCGAGTTGTATGAAAACCTCGCCGAGTTGTATGAAAACCTCGCCGAGTTGTATGAACTCGCCGAGTCATGGCACTGACTCGCCAAGTGACTTCATGAGTGAGTATGGCTTCCAACCCACTAAGTCATACCCTATAACTCATTACTCCAACTCGCAAACACAAAAGGGAACAACCCTGGGACTCGCGACCTGACTCCCCGAGTCAGATGAACGACTCGCCGAGTCGGCCACATGCAAAAACTATACACACGATCTTGCTTGGATCCAACTCATGCCATTCATAGATCTGGGTTCCTAGGGCCTAGTTTACACGTAAAGTTTCCAACTTTACGTGTAAATAAACATCCATGGGAGTTTTAGGGCTCAAAATGCACCAAAAGGGTAGATCTATGACTTACATACACTATGATTCTATAAAGGAAGTAGATCCAAGCACCTAGAGCTCAATCATGCCTAGATCTAAAGGTTAATCAGCTTATTACGAACCCTCAAACCTACCCAAGCTTGGAAATGGTTCAAGAAGGACTTTAATGGATCTATAAGGGACAATAAGCATGAAAACAAGGGGAAAACGAGTTATTCCTTAGGGAACACACTGAGATAGCTCAAAGATGCTTGACCTCTTCTTCTTCTTCTTGATCTACTCTTCTTCCCACTCCAAAACTTCAAGAACACACCTAAAACACTTCGATGTCACAAGGAAAAGTGCAAAAACGATGTTGGGGGCTCTGAGGGTGAATGGGGATGAGCTTGGGGTGGAAATGAGAGTTTAAATATGGTGCAAACCCTTGAAATTTAGGGTTTAATCAAACAGCGGTGACTCGTCGAGTCCAGAATATGGACTCGTCGAGTCTCCAACTTAAGCGTTCCCTCGGACCGTAGCCCTACTCGGCGAGTCGGACCTACAACTCGCCAAGTCCAAGACTAAAATGATAATTACTTAGATAAATTTTTACGTACCAGGAACCAGGTGCTACAAATCTCCCCCACTTATTTTAGACTTCGTGCTCGAAGTCTGCCGCTCGATCCTGAAATAGCTCGGGGTAATGCTCCATCATTTCTTCCACCGGCTCCTAAGTCTACTCGGACCCCTTTCGGTGCTGCCACTGCACCTTCACTAACTCCACCCTCTTTTTCCTCAAATCCTTCGAATTCCGGTCGAGGATTGCGACTGGGCGCTCAATGTAATTCAAGCTGTCATCAACCTGTATATCCTCTAATGGTACCACCGCTGAATCATCCATGAGACACTTCCGCAGCTGGGAGACATGGAAGGTGCTGTGGATCTGGTTGAGCTCGGCTGGCAGATCCGGCCTATATGCCACCTTGCCCACCCGGGCTACAACCCTGAATGAACCAATGAATCTCGGGCCCAACTTGCCTCGCTTCCTGAATCGAATGACGCCTTTCCAAGGCGACACCTTCAGGAGAACCATATCCCCGACCTGGAACTCCATGTATGATCGACGCTTGTCGGCGTAACTTTTCTGTCGACTCTAAGCAGTCTGCAGCCTGCTTCGAACCTGCTGAATCCTCTCGGTAGTCTTGAGCACCACTTCGGTGCTCCCATAACTCTCTGACCAACCTCTCCCCAGCATATCGGGGTCCTGCACCTCCGTCCGTACAACATCTCGAATGGAGGGCGGTCGATATTCGCGTGGTAGCTGTTGTTGTATGAGAAGTCAGCCAAGGGAAGATAAGTATCCCAACTACCACCGAAGTCTAGCACGCACGCCCGCAACATATCCTCCAGAGTCTGGAACCTTCTATCTGCGGGTGAAAGGCGGTGCTAAAATGCAAACGAGTACCCAAATCGTAATGAAACCTCTTCCAAAACCTGGAAGTGAACCGCACATCTTGATCTGATATCACTGACACTGGCACCCCGTGCCGCGCCACTATCTCCTTGATATAGATATCGGCCAACTTTTCCGCCGAGATACTCTCCGGAATCATAATAAAATGGGCGCTCTTGGTCAACCGATCCACGATGACCCAAATTGAATCTACTGCTCGCGTCGTTCGTGGAAGCTTTGTGATAAAATCCATCGTAATATCCTCCCATTTCCACAACGGGATATCCAACGACTGCATCTTGCCATGCGGTCTCTAATGCCCGGCCTTGACCTTCCTGCAGGTCAAGCACCACTCGACGTACCATGCCACATCCCGCTTCATGCAGGGCCACCAATAGTCCAGGAGAAGATCCCGATACATCTTTGTCCCCCCTGGATGAATAGAGAATCAGGATTTGTGCGCCTCCTCCATCAAGATTTGGCGCACGCCTCCATGATATGGCACCCACACCCTACGGTGTAGTGCCAATAACCCCTGACTATCATAATCGAAGGAGGTGACCTATCTCACTATTCACTCACTCTTCCGATGCTCCTCCTTCATAGCCTCCTGTTGAGCCTCCTGAATTTGCTCCAACAGGGGAGTCACCACAGTCATCCTCATGCAAACATCCCTGATCGGCGCCGCCTTGCGGCTAAGCGCATCGGCCACCACATTGGCCTTCCCCGGGTGGTAAAGGATCTCGCACTCATAATCCTTCACCACATCTAACCACCGACGCTGTCTCATGTTCAGATTCGGCTGATCCATGAGGTACCTAAAACTCTTGTGGTCCGTGTAAATGGTGTTGGATAAGGTGTCTAAGTCCATAACTTATTTGGTATATACTTGACCCGACCGGCATGGTCCATTTGGGTTGCATCTCATCCAAACTATTATGGATAATTTTATGAGAGTTATACACATATGTTTATTAATATATTATGAGTTATAATATATTAATATGAAGTTACGTTATTTAATTAGTTTTAGTCTTAAATTAATTATGGATTAATTTAGAGATTAAAAGGAATACTAATTAAATTATGGGCTATTTGTTTTATATAGTGTGGGCTAATACTCATTTGTTAATGGGCTAGGCTTATGTGGAAGTCCATGGATGATCCATGGAGCTTTTAACCCATGGATCCTTGGAAAAGGAAAAGACATGGGTTATTAGGGTTTCACCCTAACCATGCACACTATATAAGCATGCTTATGGAGCATGAAATGAAGCCTAAGAGAAAACTAGTGAACTAGTGTGTGTGCATGTGTGTGGCCGAATACAAGGTGTATACTCTCTCAAAGTTTTCCAAGAGTTTGTGGTGTTTGTGATTCCATTTGAGGCATTCACACTATTGGTGCTTGGCCCTCAAACTCCTTAGAACCAAACTCACCAAAAGGTATGTAATCTCTTCTAACTCTTTTATGTTGAAATGTTCCCCATGCCATGTTAGATAGGTTATAAACCTTGGAAAATTATTATTTTGCATGTATTTAGACAAACATAGATCCAAGGTTTATTAGGGTTGCATGCACACTTAGGAAGTGTTAGAT